GAGTGGTGGACTATGTCTTTAATCCTAATCCGCGTTAAGATTGTGCATGCCCAGCAGAGAAAAAAATATATTTCTATAATATTCCAGATTGTAAAACATAACCAACCATATTTGTATGTACATAGCCAGATAAAGTATTTCCAGTCAAAAATAAAATGAAACAAAAACAAAAAAATCATATAAAATTGTACAGTAAAACTATAAAAACAAACAAACAAGCAGACAATGAGATGTTATGTATAAAATTCAAGTTATTGCTCACAGCTCCACTTGCATGGTAGCTTATTATACATACACATTCCGAATTTCACTAAAAACTCATCCATTATTTTTATCGTTATTATTTGACAGCGTTTAGAGGACAAACCGACATATCCGTGACTATTTGGTAATGATATTCGTTATTATTTGATAGCGTTAAGCTGACAAACACACAGACTCAAATATTTTGCATTTAAAATACAAATACATATATGTATGTGGAAAGATGGATAAAAGGATTTGTTAATTTTCTTCTAAAAACAATAACTATCGGTATAAAACACGTCGCCACGTTCCAATGCCTTACATGTGCGCTAAATTAATACCATTTGTAGCACCGTTAAGAGCAAAAACCGATTGAATCGATTATTTTTTATCACATTTGAAACGGCAATTTAAATGATCACCGCGCGTTACAGTTTTCTTTCATTTAGACTGTTACATTGTTACAGATTTTTTTTAATCATGAATATCGATAAAAATATAAAATGTTTATTATTATTGATTAAAATATATATAATATTACTTGTAAAGAATAAAATCGATTCGATCTTAATCATGCGCGTGTGCATGTTTTTATAAAGAGGTTTTATACATGGATAGTTTATTAGCAAGAGATTGGCGTCAGATATTTTAACCTGTTACATCAAATTATAGGAATACATTAGGCTTTTTATTTTAGCTTTAAATATTAAAAAAGTCTAGCCAAATAGAACATAATAATACAAACCTTACCATATCCAAATAATCGAACATCGATTATAACTTAATCGAGTTACAATTTATAGAAATAATCGGTCATTGATTTATTTTCCCATAATTTTACTATTACATAAATTCAATTCTAAATCTAACAATTTAAGGTTTATTCTACATTAAAACAGTATGTATGAATACAATTTGTATCGGAAAGATATCAAAGGCAAGCTCGCGTTTGATACCTTTGAATAAATCAACAAAAACGACGGGCGGCAATGAGTAATGCCCGAATACGCACAGTAATTTCTAATAGGAAAAGCAATGGAGCCTACTTTTATTGTAATAATCTAATATTGATTTGTAGCTTATTTTATATAATAGAATATTAGATTAGGTGAGTGCTGTTATCTTTTCTTATAGAAAATGTATTATTTATAATATGATTTTCAAATAATGGGTTTATTAGGAATATAAAGCATTATAATTTTAATTTTATTCGTTTTGAAGAGCTTCATGTATTATAAACATGAATAAAATTTAAACTATTTAAAAAAAAATTGTTTTTTTTTCTATATTTATGAGTTTTAATATTTTTATTCAAATTAAGTTAAATAGAAAAAAAGTTGATAGTTTAATCAATAACATTTTATTATAGAATAAAAGACGTACTTTTTTAGTATTATTATATATTAAGTAAAAAAAAACAGTATATTTCTAAGCTTTCGACTCCATTGCTTTTTAAAGCTTCTTAACCAAGTAATCTATGCAAGAGAGTTGTGAACGTAAATTAAGAAAAACAAATATTTTTAATATGTAAATTGTAATTTAGCTTTAATAAATGATAATTAAAATAGATCACTTTGTAAAATATGATATCGTTAATATGATTTTGTATGAACACCTATGAATAAATTCATGAAGAGATTGAGCCACAAAATTTTTGATTAATAGTAATAATTATAAATTTTGGGACAATAACACGCAGCGCCATCTAGTTCCATGGTAAGCTACGAGGCTTGTGTTATGGATACCAGATAGTTGATACACTACACATATATAACTTTAAATACATACATATTATAAATATAAACACCCATGACTGGAGTACAAACATTCGTGCTCATCACACAAATGAATGCCCCCAGCGGGACTCAAACCCGCGACCGCTGGCACATCAAGTAGAGTCACTACCAACTGAGCCAAACGTGTCGTCAGATTCTAAATAGTTAATCTGTCTTAGAAAAATGCTTGGATAATAAGTAACAAATATTTCACTATTTAAAGGACATATAATACATACATACATACCTATATCCAATAAACTTAAAATTTTTAAATATTTTTTTTTTTGATGACGATACTATTTTTCAAGATTTTTCTTTTCACCTGCTTCTTGTAAATATATAATCCTCCGATACATCTTTCTGAAATCTAATGATTACAATAATGATAGCGGCAAGTTTATTTAAAGAAAATTTTTCTAGTAGCAGTTGTATACATGTTTATATCTATCTGTCAACCTGTTCAGTATCAAACGGCAAAGCATTCAACTTGACAGCCGTCAGAGTTGTCTGTCTAACAAGCATTGCCCGCGGCTTTGTCCGCGTTCAGATCATCAAAAACCAAATTCTTAGGTTTTACACACAAAAATTCTAAAAACTATAGATTTGGCCTCTGTATCGATAATAATGACTATTTCAATAAGATTTTCCAAAAAATATTTAATGTACAGATTCGACTTAGTTAGAATTTTATTATATATATAGATTACAGTACTGCTTCAGAGGTAATCGATTCGATACGTAATTAGGGTAATGTAAAAGTTTGTATTACTAAGAGACTTTTTACTGATTCTGGCTAGCTCTATATCGATGCTTTAGAAAGTCGGTGGAAATGGTAAAATCAAATTTTTACGTTATCTTTGTCTTTTCATAAAAAATATGTAGACTAGTTCTAAATAGTATAAAACTAACAAGTACACTATTTGTTCATGTTTTCAGTACTTAATAAAAGTTTTAGTTACGCAATAAAAAATGCAGTTTTTACAATAATTTAGAAAATCCCAACAGAAGATTTTTGTGTACTTCATTTTCACATCTATACTAATATTATAAAGAGGTAAAGTGTGTGAGTTTGTGAGGTTGTTGGGGGTAATCTATGGATCTACTGAACCAATTTAGATGAAATTTGGTAAGAAAATAGTTTGAGACCCTGGGAAGGACATAAGATAATTTTTATCCCAGAAATCATCTCTTAAGAGGGTGAAAACGGCGATAAAAGTTTGTATTGGGAAGCAAACCAAGCACAACCTGAGCGAAGCGAGGGTGAGTCGCTAGTATCTAATATTTTTTTATAATTACGCGATTATTTCATATCTATATATATATAAAAGAAAGTCGTGTTAGTTACACTATTTATAACTCCAGAACGGCTGAACCGATTTGGCTGAAAATTGGAGGGGAGGTAGCTTAGAACCCAAAGACGTTTTTATCCCGTTCGACTGCGTTCCCGTGTGATATTGTTTGTCTGTTTGTCTGTTTGTACGGGCTAATGTCCGAATCTATTGGACCGATTTAAATGAAATTTTGCATGGTGGTACCTTATATCCCCGGACAACGTCTTAGATATTTTTTATCCCGGAAAATGTAATGGTTCCCGTGGGATAGTTAAAAAACTATTATAACTTATACAACTTATGCACCTAATTTAGTAAAATTTAACATTCTGATACCTTATATTGCCGGTCAAACAACCGGTTACTTTTCATCCGGGAAAAATGAACGGTTCCCGTGGGAACTAATAGATTTTTATTAGTGTTTTTCTAGAGGCGAACCCGAGCGAAGCGAGGGTGAGCCGCTAGTTTTAAATAAAACTATCTTTTCATATATTTTTTTTGTTTTAATAAGACACTTTGTTGCCATTTTTGTATTTTTAAATTCATTTTGTAATTGTATGAGTAGGCACTGTCTGTAACAACTACATTTATAATGGACCTTTGAGACGTCTAAAACTTTAGTCTCTCCCAAGATCATAATTGCTGTAAAGCATTCGAAATGGCGGGAACCAAAAATCGAAATAAATCTACAAAAAAATCCCAAAAAATTGTTTCATCATATATCTTTTGAAGTTGGCCAGCGCGGGATGCGATTAGGGGCTGAATGAAATACGACCTAGTTATTGACAGTAAAATTATAACGTGAATTTAAATGAAGAACACGCTGAAAGTAATAAATAATTGATAGAAGAATAAATTAGTAAAATAAATATGATTATGAGCTTTCTCTTGTTGTGTTTATGGTCTGTCCCCAATAATCCAGTAGCACACTTGGTTAACGAGGGCCGAGTCACGCGATCTGTTTCCATAACTTATGCAAGGGCGAGCTTTATCAAGCTTTTTGCTTTGTTATTGCGAATATATGAATCGATGAATGTGAGCTTTTTGTTTCGTACCATCAAAAATGGGTGTAAGCCGATATGGTGATGGAGTGAAAGTTAAAATTATTCTAGGGACTATATTTTGAGTACTCACTAGTTTTTTTTTGAAACTTAAGTTGTTTTTTAATAATCTCACTTTCTTGAGTTATGTTTTTTTGGACTCATTAATTTAAAAAATATTGCATTTTGTTGTTGAATATTTGCAAAAATGGCCAAAAAGCTATTATAAGTTAATTTAAATGAGTTTTTAATATTCGAAACCGAGTTTCAATGTGTAATGTAATTTAAAAAAATATGTTTATTTATATTTCATAATATATCTAGCTTCAGTTGCAATGAAACTTCACAACGTCTAAGACAATCGTTTTATACATATTTAGGAGTGCGCGAACCCAACTAAATATTCAGAAATTTTGGGTAAATATATAAAAATATAAAATTTGATACAAATCGTTAGAGCCATTTCCGAGGTACACCAAATAAATTTATATATAAACAAGAATTGTTCATTTATAATGTTATAAGATACATACATATTTTGTTTATATCTGTATCATTTTACACCTAGACGCAAATCAACAATAATTTCTATTTTTATTATAATAATGACTCAAAACTCATTGTCCTACAGCATCAAACCACCTTCAAAAGACGGCGTCACGAAAAGTAATCCAAGCAAAAGACACCGCGAACGTCTCAACGCAGAACTGGACACGCTGGCGTCACTCTTGCCATTCGAACAGAACATCCTTAGCAAACTCGACCGGCTTTCTATATTGCGACTCTCAGTCAGCTATTTACGGACTAAGAGCTATTTTCAAGGTAAGTATAGAAGATAGTTGTATTATATGTTTGTTTGTTACATCTTAATACTGAATGAAATTTTAAATGGGCTTATATCAGATTAACAATAGGTTGAAAAACTATCAACAAACATAACAAGTCCGGTAATAATGAATACCTATGGTTGTTATTTTTTAATTTTTAATATTAATTTAACTCTATGTTAAAAAACGTCACGAGGAAACCTACATATCTGAGAGAAATGAAGTAGTTTTCGAAAGACCTGTAAAGTCAAGTGAGCATTTGGGTAGCATTTCCCACCCGTACCCCAGCAGTGGGCCCCACTAAAAATAAAGTAAGGTAAATAAGATAAGGTTTTCAATAAAATAATTATATTTTTTTCCTATTATATACAATTAAGTGTTTGATTAATCGGTTTTAATCAATAAATAAGGGAATCTTTAAAATATCAGTTTAACTTAGTTTAGCTATTTCTTATTGTCTTATACCTGTTCATTTAATAAGGAAATGCTAATATTTTTTTTTATTAGAGGAAAGAATTATAAGAAAAATTCCTGTAACAATGACTAACACTCACTTTAAACAGACAGTTTCATGGCATCATGTTAATATCCTTTCAATTTAACCTTCAGATAGAAAAATTTTTGGACAGCTTCCTTAAAATAAAATATAAAAATAATATTTTTTATTTTAACGTCCCACTGCTGGGCAAAGGCCAGCCGCCAATGCGAGGAAAGTCACGCCATTCTTCCAAATTATCAAAATTTTTCACAATATTTTCCTCTAAGTATAAGTAAGTAGCGATTACGTTGAAAATATCGCATGAAAATTTGAGTGATACATAACCCGTGTCGTGCGCTCCAAGTACACGCGTTATCAATAGACTATCACTTTTATCCTTTAAATACAAAGTCTTTATAAGGTATATTTAATATAATCTATTTAGAACACTAAAGCGGAACTTTTTACACAGGTGTAATTTTTTGTAACATCTCTTAGCAAGACCTAATAAGGGCAGCCGCTGTCACTAAATATACATCAATCTTAATTAAAAAAAAAACATGTCTTCACGCTACGTGAAAGAAACTCAAACCTACAAACATCTTACATTAAAACAAATCTACAAACAAAACTTACTATGAAAAATATACTAACAGTTAAATTATCATCAGCAGTTGCTCAGCCAATTTACACTGCGATTAACTAAGCCATATTAAATCATTTCAACCCACCATTTGCAAAACAAAACTCCGCTTAGAATCCAATACGAATGGATTCGATTACTTACAAATGTGTTCCATGACACGTATTTAACGTTGTCAGGCAATTTTATTACACAGCATATTAATAAATGAATCGTACTCAGATTCATTGGAACGAAATGGATACTTTGCGAAGCGGTCTATACGTCGATACTCATTGTTTTAGCTATCTTTTTAATTTTGTTTTGAGTTAGAAATATTTTAAAGTGTATTCAGGTGGTCGCTAGTTCGATTCCCATGTGTTTTAATGTTAATAACTATTAAGGATTGATATGTACATTGTACATACATATGTAAGGATGTAAAGTAGGTTTCAAAGATAAAATTTTTGAATTTAGCACTATTATTTTTTATTGTTTATATCATAACCATATCCGGAATTTAATTATTTTACAAGATTGAAAGCTTATAACGAGAGAAAACTTTGAAAAAAATCAACAGAAATTATTGAAATGATGACTTTTAGTAACTTAAATATTTTAAACAAAATCTCCACCAAAATCATTATAAATTAACGTGAATGAAATCACAAGCAAGCACTAGTCGTATCACAAATTCTATGATTAAAATAAATCCAGATATCGATAGCAAATCAATATCCGATTAATCGATAATTGGAACAGTAAATCCTAAGAAAAAATACCACTTTGCATACGCTACTAGCGCGTATATCATTTGCTGAGTTATTAATGCTCTTTATAATTTTATTCTGAACGAGATTCGAATATAAAAATCAGTAGGGGGCGATTGGTATATGCTTTATTGTGTACAGACGGACCTTAGGGTCGACGACGTGAGTACTGGCAGCGATAAAATTATATTTATAATATACTTAATTATAATTTTCACTATCGGACTAATATATTATATACCAAAAATGCAAAAGTTTGTATGTATGTTTGTATGTTTGTTACACTTTCACGCTGAAATGGCTGGACGTATTTGGATGACATTTAGTACACACTAGTTTACTTACGTTTTAGCGTTTAGTATAGATTTCTCAGAGATGAGATATTTTCCCGCTGTAAAAAGTATCCTATATGTTGACCCGGATAACCAGTTAAAGGTTGAAAGAAATTTAATACATAGATGGAATATAACCGGAAGTAACACATAGGCTACTTTTACCTAGAGAAACACCCAACTGAAGCATGTAAAGTCGCTATTTTAACCATGATTCTATTACTATGAGTTTGATACTTTTACCTTCTTTATTTTATTTTTAAAAACCTTTTATATTCGATTGTACGTCCAAAATATCGATAATTCTAATTAAAATGATTGTTGAAGCATCGATTACATGGTCTCTCTCGATTCGTAAAGATTTCGCCGCGCTGCGGGACGCGTTATAGTTGAAGCCAATATATAATCGTATATATTCAGTACCGGTAGCTGTAAATTATTGGTTTTTCTTAGTATTTTTATTGAACGTATGTACCTACATATTTTAAGAAGAGATTTGTTTGACCACCGGTAACATAATTGTTAACATTTACTGTTAAAGCTTACGAATACTTTATAATAGTGTGTATTCTTAGAAATTCATTTTTCATTTAAATATGAGGTATTAAAGCTAATATGTATTGACGAGAATGCCGAAAAGCTCGTATCTGCTAGATGCAAAGGGCCATTAGAAATCACATAAAGGTACATATCATGTCTCACTTATCACAAAACATAATTATATTTTTTTATATAATAAATAAAATAAAATGATATTTAAATTATAATTATTATATAATTAAATTGTTAAATAAAATATGTATTATTTATGCGTAGCTCAAGTATACATATAGTATATAATATAACTTAAATATATTATAAAACAAAAAAAAACCTAAATACTACTTTACATATCATGATATAAAGTTCAACATATGTAGTATTGAAGATCATTGAAGCTTTTTGGCAAAGCTTTTTTACAAAAGCTCACCTGTCACGTGCGCACTACAAATATATGTATATACAAACAAAAACGTAAACACACGTAATTTTCTTATATATCTTTTATCAAGATCGCGATTTTTGTCATCCAGAGTTATAAAAATAACAAGGAAGTAGCGTACATATATAATACCTACGGTGCCTGCCGCAGTAAGGCACGGGGCGGAAGCGATATCGACCCATGCTAATTCTATGCTTCGAAAACGTAGCTAAAGGGGAGAAATTGCTTTTGGTAATTTTGTTTGGCTTTAATTTATAGGAAGGATTAATCAAAATGTAATAAATGTTGATTTCTTATGTATTGATGTGAAATCGAATTGTTTGGGGTATGTGTGTACTTGTGTATAATATTATGGTTTGTTTTAGTAGCTTATTTGGTTATTGCATGGAATCAAAGTCCTGGTCGGTCATATTTTTTGTGTTTGTCTGTTGGTGCCTTTTATTTCTAATAAAAAATTAATCTTGTAGCGCAGGACAGATGGTTTTTTTATATATAGATCAGTGCATGATGGTAGATATCTATTACCTACTGTACTATAATAAGGGGGTAAAAGAGAGGATTTTTAGAACTGATTTTAATGTTACAATTCATATCGATAAATTATAAAAAGAAATATGACAAAGTATAAAACAAACCACTGATTCTTTCACTGTACTCTTTCTGCATAGGGCTCCTTCTAATGTAATTCAAACAAGTAGTTTTTGTCATTTTCTAACCTAAAATATATACATATATGCAAAAACTCACAATATAAGGTAGTTATTGAGTGAAAGAGCAACAAACAAACAATCAAACAGTATGGAGTTTGTTATATTAGAAATGAATATCATACGAGAATATTTATTAGCCCTGACATATGTACCTAAGCACGAATAATTGTTCTCAATCTATTTATAATATCACATAATATAGGTATATAAACTTTTTACTTAATCATTTTATAACATGGAATAATAACAGCAAAACAAAACTCAATAAATAAAAGAAAAAAACTAATTACACTTCAAGACAAGTGAAGTCGTTCATTGAAGTATCATCGTTTTTAGTTGTTTTAGTTAGTTGCAAGTTTTTTGACGTTACGTACATGTATTGTAGGCAACAGCTACGAGTATTGCAAGAAAAAAAAAATAATTCCACGGGCTTTTATGCAGTAGCTGCTGTAAAACCATTAATGTCCTGTAACATAAACAATACTTTTCTTTATCTAAAACGGTTTCAAATGAATGTTGCTAACTCATAATAATAGCTTGGGTTTTAATATATATGTACATTTGAAGTTATAGTTCAATGGTAACGCGCTCGTTTGGGAAACCGAGTGAACCGGGTTCAAATCCCGGGTCTCGTACTTTTGATATTTTCATGTGCGGTGAAGGAAAACATCGTGAGGAAGTTTTCGAAAGACATGTAAAGTCCGCCAACCTACACTTGGCCAGCGTGGTGGATTATGGCCTGATGACTCATATTGAAAGCAGGCCCGTGCCCAGCTGTGATACGTTAAAAAGGGCTGAATATATATGATAAACCTAAAAACTCTATTACTTCAAAATAAACAAACTTATGTGTTATTCAGATATTTCATATTTTGTAAAAAAACCATGATATTTGCAAATTATTATAGTGTAAGGAATAATTCCCTAATGAACCCTTTATACTGTAAAAAAGGGTTCCTATAATTACGTGAAGAACCCTTTCACGTATTTTTTTATAGAAGTCCCTATAATAATAATTAACTTATATCCAACGTACAGAAAAGGTAAAATAAATTAATTAATCTGAAAAAAAAAAACGTTCAACGCCATAATGGATTACTGTACTTTATTGTTTT